ATAAGAATTTTACAGCAAATATTCATTCATTAGTTAGTTTGGATGCATATTTGTTTTACCCACCATTATGCCCCAAATTGAACCAAAAACGTGGCCTGGCTAACTAATGAATGAATATTTGCTGTAGAATTCTTGTCAATGCTATAAGTATAGCTACCAATTTGGCCACCAATTTTGATTTCATTTCTTTAATTCACAGGCTAAATCCTTTTTTGACTGCACCTTTTTTTCATACCTAAGGTGTTTTTGATTAGATAAAACACCGTGAAGGTGTGTATGTGTAATGTTCAGATTCTGAAATCAATATTAAATTCACTATATATTATGAGGGTTTAGATACATTGATACAAGTTTGACACAACTTGATGTACGTAACCATGCTGTCGTCATAGAAAAGTATTTCTGTTCAAATAAAGATTTGATATATTTCATTGCGACTGGCTGATACTTAAAACTGTCCTTTAGTGTCTCAGTATAAATTATGCTTGAAGACCCTCCCCCTCCCCATACAGATAAATATTGTTCTGGAAGGTAGTCTGTACTATTTTTATACTTGTCACTTAGGATATAACACACACCTTATTAATATTTATATAACTGCATGCCTTTTTCTGTTGTTTATCTAGTACATTGAGCATTAAATTAAGGTTTATTTGTTTGTTGGGTTTTGAACAAAGTGAGGGTTATCTGTGCTCACCATCCTTAATTTTGAACTAATAAGACTAGAGGCAAGGCAGCTATTCAACAGCACCCACTGTTAACATTGGACTACTTATATAACACATTCATGGCTTCAAAGTGGGGAGTACAGTTTTATTTATTTTTTATTGAGATAATGTTCCATGAACCACAGACTCTCAACTCCACAGTCTGACTTCCTAACCATTATACTGCTCTCAACCCATTAATTTAAAAATATTAAACAGTTCACCAAACCACAAGTAAGTGTTAATGGTGAGGAGTTGAATCTAATCTGTGGTTCTGTAGTGATTCCTTCATGGCATTACTCTTGTGATGTACAGCTCAATGTATTTAATGTTTATTCATGCTAAGGCATACAAACGAATTCTGTTGAAATTTACTTGATTTACAGGATAAAATGTGTTTAATGCCGTGAACTTAGAAATACTTACAAGTGTTAGTAAAAAAAATCTGAATTAAAAAGATTCAATTTTCTTTAATTTCAGCTTCTGTGTGATCAAATAATAACGGAAACCTTTCAACCAGTAGTTTTTCCAAAGGTATGTAATTAGACTTGAGAACTCTGTTTTGAAAACTTTGGAGACTATCACAAACTTCATATTAAATAGATCCAGGGATAGTTATATAATTAATCTTACTGTTAAATAAACACATTTATATATTTGTTAAGTATGCTTTTGTAAACCGTAACTACCAGGAGATCTATGTTAAAACAATAAAAACAAAATTTAATTGTTCTGCTAGTTTTACCTACTTTTCAGAAAATTATCATAGTGCTCAAAATTGTTTTTATACAAACAAAAAAACCATGAAGAACACAGTATAAAAGTTTTGCCAGATCTTGTGCTACATGTACATTTTTTTTGGGGGGGTAATTATTTTTTTTAGCTAAAAGAGTAAAGGTTTTGCATAAATCATAAATTTTTGGCTAAATTTACTAGCTGGTGGAATAGTATTATTGATATGGCCTGAAGAGAGAAATGCTAACATAGTGTAGCAATGTTATTGATATGGCCTGAAGAGAGAAATGCTAATGATAGTGTAGCAGTGTTATTGATATGGCCTGAAGAGAGAAATGCTAATGATAGTGTAGCAGTGTTATTGATATGGCCCACTATCATTAGCATTTCTCTCTTCATAGCAGTGTTATTGATATGGCCTGAAGAGCGAAATGCTAACAATAGTGTAGCAGTGTTATTAATATGGCCTGAAAAGAGAAATGCTAATGATAGTGTAGCAATGTTATTGATATGGCCTGAGGGGAGAAAGGTTAACGGTAGTGTAGCAGTGTTATTGATATGGCCTGAAGAGAGAAATGCTAATGATAGTGTAGCAATGTTATTGATATGGCCTGAAGAACGAAATGCTAATGATAGTGTAGCAATGTTATTGATATGGCCTGAGGGGAGAAAGGTTAACGGTAGTGTAGCAGTGTTATTGATGTGGCCTGAAGGGAGGTGAATGTTAAAGACACTTAACAATAGTGTCAAACTATACAAGATTTATATTACAATATCAATTATTCATCAAGTCATTCCAGATTTTTAAACTGACTCTGTACAGTTAGTAAATACAATGTGTGCTCTATTGATAGAATTTCCAGGTATATGTGTCTATGTATGAACTCTCTCTCTCTACATTATTAAAATATATAGCAAGTGTTGAGTGCCTATACCTTTTATCTTCAACTGACAATTTTTCTATATATGGATGACCAACCATAAACAACTTCTGTGTTGTTGTTGTTTTTTTTGCATTGGTAATTAAAATGCGTCTTTGTATAAGTATGTGGAATGTCGATTACAATTTAAATACAACATTTTAATCAATTTGGAGAAAAATCTTCTCTCCATTTCATAGTTGTTCCTGAACTCAAACATACAGAATGTCTGAAAAGTCTTGAACCATAGGCATTTCAACAAATTTTGCAGGAAGTGTTCCACATGCTGGCCTTTTAAATCGCAAAACAACTTTGGATTAACAGCAGGATTAACTCGACCTTCTTATGCTTTGACAACATCATAATCAGTTTGTATCTGAAGTTAAGAAAAGCTGCAAATCACCTGTGGTTCCAGATTTTTCACACACCCTGTAGAAAGAGAATAACTGTCTTTGAATTAGTAGCATCAAATGGATGTGTAGATTTGTAATATGTGTTTATTTCATTAGTGACTTTGGTATCTCTAGACTGAATATCCGCTCAACAAGGTGTTGCATATTAGTGAAAAACCACAATAAACAGAACAAATTGTCAAAAGTTAGAAGACCTAGTTTTGACACATTTGTACATCCTTTTCAGTCTCATTGTGATGTCCTTTGGTGGAATAGCAATAAGTTAAAGGACCTACAATGCTAAAAACTAGGGTTTGATTCCCCACAGTGGACACAACAGATAGCCCAATGTTGCTTTGCTTTGAAACAAAGAGGGAAAGAAAAAGTAGGAGACAATGCTACAATACTATAGGTTCTGCAAGGATTTTGACAGTAATCATTCAAATGATATCTATAATTATGGCCTCAATTTTGTTATAATGAGAATGACCAGCCACAGGTTATTACTAGTCGTTGTTGGTAAATGTAATTTGTCCTATGAATTAATAAATGTTGGATTTGGTCAGTCTGTAACATAATCTTGAGGAGTAAGAAATTTGAAAGTCAGAATCCAGTAAGTGCAACAGTCTGTCTGTCATTTCATAAAAGTACACACACTGTGTTTGTGTTCAACATTTGTTCATTTTGTGTTTTGCTGTGTGTTAAGTCGCTCTATTTCATTCAATATCATGACTCAGTTATTCAAAGATTTTGACTGATTCTTCTGTTATTAAACAAACCCATTGTTTTACTCTAAGGTTAACTCTGTTTTACCTGAATGTATCACACTGGCTTCTTAAGTGTTTGTGAAATTTGCTATTTTAAGTAAAACCATGCAACAAGGGTTTCATCCAAAAGACTGAACTAAACTTTGGGTTTTGGTGTTACTATCGTTCTAACCCTTCTTTCCTTATAATATATATATATATATATATATCATTTTTTTGACCTGGTGTAAAAAAGGATGAACTTGTTGGTGTTGTCCTTCAAATCTTATTATAAATTTCAAGTAATGTGTTATTCATTATTTAAGATAATCCATAGCAAGTTGGATATTATGTTACAGAAACTTTTTCCAGTATTTTGAATCTTTCTTGAAACTGGTGTGAATAAGAACCAAATATTGAAACTAAAGAACAAAAATAAGCATGTTTAATCTATAGTTCTTACAGTGTGATTCAAACTGAAAGAATTTCTTAATTAAAAAACCTAATACATTTGTTAGGTTATAAACAAGATTACGACACTTATGATAAACAACATTGTTTATTGACAAAAAGGGGACATGGATAAACGTTTCGAGATTCTATCAGATTCCATCTTCAGTATCTAAAGCAGAGTAAAATTAATTTACATCAGTCTTTATACATTTTCAAAGTACAGTTGCTAAATATAACAATAATTAAACAAATAAAACACTAAACAGTAATCATGGGGAGAAACTACAGCAAGAAAACGCAACGAAAAGAAAAAAAACCGAAAAATCAGTAATACGAACATATTAAAAAATTTATAATTTAAATGAAGACTGCATGTTGTTCAGAGTTGGAGAGTGCT